TGGACACAGCAGCCCCCACATCACCATATAATATAACAAAAATACAAATGGTAATAATACATTCAAAATAAGTAGCAAAAATAACAAGAGACTGCTGTCAAATAAGGCATAATTATATAAATGATATATTTGGTGGTATTCATACAGTTACTTTACTTAAGTCTAAGAAATACATATTACGATATTTGATCATGTAATTTAGGCTTGAAACCACACTATTAGTATTAGCAAGAAAAACACAAATCACTGCTCATGTGGTGAGTGTATTTGCAAGTTTTCCTTCTCTGACAAGCTTTGCAAAATGTCTCACTCCTATTTTATGTTTTTACGCTATAGTATAATACAATTTAATGTGAATGTATAGATAGATTGGTAGTTAGATACTTTATTGATCCCAAAAGAAATTCAAATACAGAATACTTCAATTTGGGGCTTAAGACTTATCGAATATCTCATTTTGATTTTTCTGACAATCTTTCCATTTGCGATCAGATTTGTGATTTAATAGGATTCTGCTGAAAGTTCACTTGTGCAGAAGAATTACAAAAAAAAAAAAAAAAAAAAAAAGATATAAGAACTGACAAATGAATGCAAGAATTAAATTTTAGAACACGTTTATGCAGAATAAGACAGGATATTTTGTTGTTGAAGAAGGAAATTATGGTACTTAAAACTGAAGGCTTTGAGATTTGCTTATTGTGTTCATTCAAATTGCGGCTTCCACTGTGATAAATCTTGCTTGCTTGCACTAATTTGATCATTTTGAAGCATGATATATTGCTACATAGATATACTACAATAAATGTTAATATTGAAACAACTCTATCCCACTGCTACAAAATAGCAGGATGAACCAATAATTAGCCAGAAGTTATTTATTCTACCAATCAACCATCAAATCTTACTGTATTACAACAAAAATATAAAAAAATCTCCACACTTTTACAAAGAAACTGTACGCACGATAAATACTCATCCCCATAATATATTTTGTGTCAGCCTTCATATATAATTCTAATATTCTACAAGAGAAATGATTTAGACATAGTAGTTCACACATCACAATATATATTCAAATAACAATGAGCAACAATAGAAATGTAATAATAAGTTCCAAATAAGTAAAAATAAAATATAGAAATATAGTAATATAAATATATCTCAGCTATGTACAAGAGGTCGTAAGGAGAAGCAGTGCAAAGATATAGTAATTATCATTGCATTGTTTAACTTTTCTGGTTATTACTTTGTCTGGAATTTTTCACAGTATGGCATTAAACATTTTTTTCTTCCTGAAGATCAAACCAGACAAAGTTACAGGTCAGATCTGTGGAGAGGGAACCCCACTCACAATCAGAATGCCTGTTTTTTTACGTTTTTATTTTTATTTTTTTATGTATTTTTGAGCAGTAGAAACACCTATAAGATAAAGCTCTTTAATGCCATACTGTGGAACGTTTCAGGTCATATACATAAGAACAAGCAGGTTATGGACCCCCAACAAAAAAGTTACATAGTATACCTTTAATGCAGGTATTTCAAGTATTCTTCCTGTCATTTGTCATAAGTGCAATAAAAATCAGCAAATACTATCATTTACAATATGTTTACATCTCAAAGTGAAGACGCAGATCTCCATAACTTTTTTAGTGCAGAGTGAAGCTAAGTTTTGTGCATGAAAGAACAGTGACAGTCCTGTGCAAGTGAATGAAGCGTATCAATGAGCAGGCTGTCAGGAAGCACCGCTCAGAACTACAAAACCCAGGATACAACACAGATGACAAGGGCACTCAGGGCACAGACTGCTGCAGTGAGATCATCCTGTGTGGCATGTTTTGGAAAATGTTTATTCATTGGAATTTGAGTGTGCTGCAAGACAGATTTCAATTGTGATAATGTAGGGGCTGATGGAAGTAGAACATGTTACAATATCACATTTTAGTTTTGTCATAATTTGATCCCTATATTCCTTTTGTATGTGACCAGATTTCTGAATGATGAAGTAAAGTTGATGTGACATAAACAGCCAGATCAAATCATCTCTGTAACTTTTATTAGACTGAATTGAACAAAAGACATCTCCAGGTATGTTTTGGAAGAGGTTACAGGATTATAATAGCTTGAAGCGGCACTCTTACTTTTTCTGAATTAATTTCTGTGTGTCCAGTGTCTGATAAAAGGGAACTCTCAATCTCATGGACATGTAAAACATTAATGGAGATCTGTAACCCACTTATACTGTGAAGAATCTGTACCTATTTGTACCTCAAACCCACAAATAAAAAAAAAAATAATGCAAACTTTTTTTTTCTATTTACAAGCCCCTAAATCTAATTGTTAGTGAGATTTGCTTCAGCTTTGACATGGGAATTGTCAAGATTCAACAGATGCTCAATCTGCTGTCACTCAGGTCATCCCCAGCACCAGCTATACTTATTTTTACATTCACCCCAGAAATTTTAGGTGGAATTTGAAATCTGACCTTCCTGTGTGTAGAGCTTGTTCCCAATTCAAATGAGAGCACAGAGACAGTTAGAGGACAGCAGAGGCCAAAACTCCAGAGCCTCAGCTTCACAAAAAGTCCAGCCATTTGTCTGTGAAACAGATTCTGTCTGAATAGAGTCATCTTAGTCAGGCATTTTAGGAAAATAGTCTGAAACTCTAAGGGGGTACATCTGTACATCTTTCTGTAACAGTACAAATGAACTCTTAAGTCTCCCAAAGGTTGTTATACAAAGAATATCAGATGCTTACGTAAAATGGGGTTTGGCACTAGAAGGCTCCCTGCTGCCAATAGCTTTAGTGAACTGGTCAGGAGCATACTTCTCGTTAAGGATCTTGATTTGCAGTTTACATCTCAATAAACACTGGTGTTCTTGAATAAAATCACCTTATTGTCCAAATTGAAAGGTTTGTGGTTTTACAAAGTTGAAATAGTGAAACTGTACCTTTTGTTTGTTTTGAACATGATTAAAGATAAATTCTTTCCAGTAAGTCGCTTCATTTTGACCCACTGACCGAGGGATGCTATAGAGTTGTGGTTCTTTTTGGTAAAAAGTTGGGTCACGATTCAAAAAGGTCAAATTAACTAAGTAGAGCTCAGGATTAAATGTCAAAAAACTATATTGGAAATTCGTCATAGATGCATTAGCAACAATATTACAAAGTAACTGCTGTGTACTTCCTGGTAAATGTATTTATTACAGTACACTCAGAATACTTTTGTTTAGTATTTAGCATCTTAAAGTCTTCATTGGTTTAACATAGACTAACTGTAAATTCTGAGAAACAACATCTTTAAGTCATGCTAGATGTTTAAGAAATATAATAATTGAACATTATTGCAGTTTCCTGGTGGAGGGTTCACTACCTGCTTGTCTCCATGGAGTTGTGATTATTTTACCTTGAATGTTCCACAGAGTGAACGCATTAAACTTCCAAATGTGCTTGCTCATGCTTAAAAATGCCTTGAAATTAGGCATTCTTCCTCCTATGAGCAGACTCACCTCTCCACAGATCTGTCCTGTAACCTGGTCTGGTTTGCTGTAAATGGTCTTTTCTATAGCGCTTTTCCACCTTCAAGGCACTCAAAGCACTTTACAACACACACATTCACACATCAGTGTACGCAGACACTGTGGGCAAGGTGGGTTAAGTGTCTTGCCCAAGGACACAACAGCAGCATTCATCTGTGGGAGCTGGAATCACACCAGCCAACCTGTGGGTCAGTGGATCTGACCGCTCAAACTGTGATGTTTATGTCAAGAGCTGGAATCGAACCGCCAGCCTTCGGATCAGTGGGCGAATGCTCTACCAACTGAGCTACTGCCGCCCATACTACTCTACTATGGAATAAAACATTAACATCACCATGGAAACAAGTTACATAGTATAGCTTTTATAGTTATTTGCTTATTTTAACAGCTAATACACCTGAATTATCCATTGCTTTCTTATCTTATCTTCTTCCCTGTGGAGATGTCATGTGCCCTGTGCAGGACTGGGGCAGTGTGGGGAGTTATGGCTTGACTTGGCTCAGCTGTAGTGTACCGTACAAGAAACAGTGACAGAACACTCCTGGTGCATTCACTGACTTCCAGGAAAGTAGGAAAAAGGTTTTACAAGGCATGTGGGAGGAACACTCAGCCAGTAATTAGACAGTGTTAAAACTCACAGCCTCCAGGCCAACAGCCACTAAAGAAAAGTGAAAGTAAAGCAACCCAAACTATGAGGATGAAGTATACTGAATTTATTTTCAACTGTATTTACAATTTTAAAAAGATTAGATCATTTTAATTTCTCTTTTTGTCAGAGTTGAGAGAGGGATTTTCACACATTGTTTCAGTCATTTCAGCATTGGGTTGTTAAAATGCCCAATATTATGCAAAATTGACTCTTATGAGCTTTAAGCCATTTTATAATGTTGTTACCTCATCACCTGGAGTTGTATTTTGTTTCGTTCATGTTTGAGTAACACTTTATAAATCTGTCTACATCTCCAAGGCTCAAAATACTCTGTTCCACCTTGTGATGTCATGAAGTAGTAGTTTTCAAGTTAACAGCTCTTTTTACCCTTTAATTCAGTAGAGATTGGCTATTCCATTGCTGAAATCATCCCAATTATTCTAGTGAAACTGTATGGAGTTTAAAAACAATGGAGCACTTCCTGTTTTACCACATGACATCACATAATTACAATGTTTGCTTTTTGAGATAAGAACTCAGTCTAAATGTGCAGGGTGTGTGTGTTAAACATGTGTGAACGGAACGAAACAAAACACAACTCCAGGTGTGTTTGTGATGAGGAAACTTCATTATAACAGAGATTAGAAAATTGAATAATAAAATAGGAATAATAAAGCATTTCAGATTATCCTTTATTTGCGTGGACTTCCTCTATCATAAAGCTATATGCAGGTTCATAGTGCCGACTGTGTATGGAAGAGAATGTAGAATGGAAACAGGAAGTGGTCTGACCATGTGTGTGTCTCTTCCCACAGATCCTTTCCCGCTCAGACTGGGACCACAAGAGGGGCTCCCGAGGATCACAGGTTAGCCACGTTCACATAAGAACTACTCCCTCCAAAACAACCCCCAGACTAGGAGATGTATGCATAACACAAAACAGAGACAGAGTGCAAGAAATGATTGCTGGTCAAGAGGCTGGTCAAGTCCTGTTTGTAAAATTGACCATTTGGAGATTTTAAACATGTTATAATGCTGTTCCCTCATCAAAAATGTACCTTATTTCTTCATCTTTAAACCATGTTGTAGTTGTTTCCCCATACCATTTACTCACCCAAGTTGTATCTGCAGTGATTTGTGCATGTTTGAGCAATCTTTAATCGCTTATTTTCAAGACGCCATATTACCAATCAACCCCTGTTTTCACTGCCACCGGCATACGCCCACTGCTCTCTACTTACTTCCTTCTTCAAATGGGATTTGGCAGTGTCACGTAGTCATTTTGGTACAAATGAAAAAAAATCTGCTACACGCTAGCATGATCTACAGCTCTCCATGGGATCATAATGATCTTATGAGTTTCATAGATTATAACCATATAATAGACACAAGCACAATCGGTCTTTCTTAAGAAGTCTTGGTCTCAGAAATCACTCCATTTCAAATTTACTTGAATTGCTTCATCACAGGTAGAAATCCTGCACAGTTTTAAGTCCATAAATGATTGTCCAGACTATTAGATCATAGACTCATTTTGAGCATTTATGGCTTCAAATTGCATTCAACTGCCACTTAACAGACAGGTCACGTTGCTTTTTTATGGTTCAAATGGTGTTCAAAATCATGTTTACAGGACAATACTGCATAATATTGACATAGCAGTTTGAGGTAATTGGTAGTTTGTGTGTCATTTTTGAGATTCACTCTAACACCAGCTGCCAGTATAGCCTGTGGGAGGGGCTAGAGGTTAGGTGAAAACACACATTTTTGAACCACCTCAGATGCTATTGCCAAGTGATACTTCTACTTACCTGTACTTACGAGTATTTGTTGTGAGTACTGTTCTATAGTGGGAAGATTGGGGCGGTCTGTATAGGAGCTGATGTATCGATGCTGGTAAACTTAACAATACCATTCATTTGTACTGTGCACTACTCTGCTATCAAAAGGATTTCCTCTGAAAGAATACATAAAAATACATGCTGCTGGTTCACTGACAGCTTCACAAATGATACTGTGTAAGAAATCAAGGAGGCTAAGAGGTGTACTTTACTCTGGGATTAGTGGAAATTTGGATTATGGTTGAGAAACAATTTAACATTCCAGTTACGCAATTTCTTCTCTTCTTTTCTGAAATGTTTTTTTTTTTGTTATTATTGTATGAGAGATGAGCTGAGAGGGGTGTTTTTGACATGTTCATAGTCTGAACAAACAAAAATATTCAAATAAAAACAAAAAATATATATATAATTTAATTGTGTTGGAAAAAAACTTTTTCCAAATTCTATATATTTGAAGCTTTATTAGAACACTGCAAAATTCTTTTTACTCTGTAAGTACAGGTCCTTTAATTAATACTTGAACTTAAGTAGATTTTTTTTCATGTGATACTTTTACTTTTACTTAAGTAACAAAACTGAATACTTGTTCCACCACTGCATTTGAGGTTGTTCTTATTACAGTAAAATGTTACACCGTGCAGCTTAAAAAATCTACAAGCTTACAAGAGCTCAGCTTTTCTTTTTCACCTACTTTTTGTCGTCTAACCTCTACTTACAATTGCCCTTTTCTTTGCTAATCTCCCAGCCCGTTAATGCTCCAAAACCAATGTGTTTCCAAGTCAAATGCAAATATTGAAATAGCTCTTTCCATACTTAAATTTACTGTCAATCGCTAAGCTAAAACATCCAGGGCTCAGCTTTGGAATGGGACGGGAGCGAAGAAAAATGCGCTTTTGGAAAATAGGTCAGCTAATGTGTCCATGTTCGTAAAAATGTTGTCAGAAGAAGAGTAGGGAGGAGAGGAGGTGTCTGAGCTTACAGAAGGGATAGCAGCTCTTCTAAATGTTAACATGGGCCAGTGGTGGAAGAAATACCCTTTTTTTTTTTTTACTTAAAGATGCAACTTTTCTGGTGGAAGATCTGCTACCTGCTTGTATCCGTGGAGATGTTTTTGGTTTCCCTGGAATGTTCCATGGTATGATATTAAACATCTACCATCCATCTAGCATTGATTCATTATGTTTGTTTCTATTGCTCAAAAATACAAAAATTCCTTCTGTGAACAGGGGCGACTCTCCACAGATCTAGACTGTAATGTAGCGTAGTGCTGTAACCTTCTTGTCTCCCTTGTAAGAGACAGGTTTAATCTATACTGTGGAACATTATCGGCAAAGCAATAACATTTCCATGGAGAGAAGCAGGTTTTTCTTCACTGGAAAAAAAGCTCCAACAGCAACATTTTTAACCAGTTATTCCTGTAATATTTCAATTTTTTAAAAGAATTTCTCTACAAGTAGCCTTATGTAGTGAATATCTGAATACCTGACCTATATATGTGATTGATTAAGCCTCCATTAGACCCCAGTGGTCAGTCAGCTTTAGTTTATTTACATTTGGGCTGTGCATTCGTCAGTGGAATCCTGTAATAATCCCCAGGCTGACAAGACATGCAAGAAGCCTGGGCTTATGTTGGCATCTCCTCTAGACCTGTGGATACTTTAGTTTGGCCCATGCCAGTGCTGGAATGTAACAAAGTAAAAGTAGTAAAGTACTGCATTTAAGCAAAAAAAAAAAAAAAAAAAAAGTAGGTGTCTTTACTTTACTTTACTTTAACTCCCACTGTGTAAACTTCCAGCCAAAAATAGACAAGAAATAGACATAGATAACATAGATAAACATGCATCCTCACTCTGAGTGGGCCTGCTTGTTGCCATGGAAATGTTCTTTCTTTGCCTGTAATATTCCACAGTATAGCTGCTGCTTTAAATGTATTGTCTTGACTAAAAAAAATAACTTTGTTCCTTTATCTCAGTAATCTTGTCTATGTAACATTTTATTCATACATTTGTGAGAAGAGATAAACCACCTTACCACGGAGCCTTTTCTTAGAAGACATCTGACATTTAGATTGGGTTGTATTTATAGACATGCCATTTTTACACAGTGTGAGCCCCTTCTGCAGCGCTCATGACCAATCTGTGTTCAGCTCATGTTTGGAGTCCACTGTGAACCCACGCTTAACATTTACATCATTTTGTCAGATCTTATTTATTTCACAGCATCATAATATTCATCTTACACTAGAGGGATGCTTTTACTGTCCATGTTCTGCTACCTGTGCCAAAGAGATTACACTTTCGGAAACTAGGACTTTTTTTTTTCCAGGACATGCCAGTTGAAATGATTCTTGTTTTTTTATTCCTGATCTGGGATTTCTCTAAAGTATTACTGCAGTGATCTAGATCTAAAAATACTTCAGTTTTTTGCTTCATTCCACTTCTGGTTAGATGCTAAACTGCATTTTTCTTTCTTTTTTTTTTTTGCCCTGTGCTGCTTTAAATTTATTTTCAAGAAGTTTATTTTACATGGAGAGCAGATATGACATCTGTAGATGTAACTCCATAACTGTTACCTAGCAACGTTATTATTAACAATGGCTCAAACCTGTCTGAATTGCACAATAGTTATGGTTAGGCAAAACAAAACACCTTTAGTTTGTTAGATGGAGGTATACAGGTGCACTGCGTAACTTCTCAGTAGGGTATGCCAACTGCTTGTTTCTATGAAGACCGCCTGGAATGTTCCACAGTAGGGCTTTAATCTGGAGAAAGCAGGCAGTTACATCAGGCCAATTTACTGGTCAAATCTGTGGAGAGGGTAACTCAGTCACAATAAGAATTAGGGGTGTGCAAAAATTTCAAAATATTCATATATATCGTATTGTTTAATGTGATGATACATATCGATATTGAGAGCTACTTTATCGATATATATCGCCAAGAGTATTCTTTAGTATATTTTATTTTATATTTTACTAAATTGTTTTGTTACAGTGCTACAGTTTTGTTGCTTGTTCAGTGAAAAGAAAGTAATTTATGCAACACATTTGACATTTTCACTGTTTTGATGATTAAAATGTTTGTGTTTCATATGAACTTTGCAAAAGAAATGGTTTAACAAGACTTTTAGTATCATGGTCATTATTTTACCATTATTCTTACTGAACCGTATTGAATCGATTTGAAATATATCATATCGAATCGAAAGTGCACTGTATCGAGATATGTATCGTATCGTGGCCTACGTATCGAGGAATGTATCGTATCGGCAACTTCTTAATGATACCCAGCCCTGGTAAGAATGCAGGTTTTTCAAGGTACTTTTGAGTAATAAAACCCTAATGAAATAAATACAAGATGGATAAATTTAATGCCATACTGTTCAGGATTCCAAACACAGCTATAACATCTCCATAGAAGAGATGTATCTTTAGATAAATGTATACTTTTCTTCTCAACTTTCCTTCCTCAATCTGCCACTTATCTGAAGAAAACAGGTACAAACCAAACCAAATAATGTTTTCTCCCCCCACCTGCATCTTTTGTTTTAAGAATGCAGAGTAAAATGGGGTCAACACATATTTTGTAGAATTATAAACTTGAGCTCCCTGGCTGCACTCCCCCTGATCCCCTTTCCTTAAACTCACTGCAGAAACACAAAACTACCGCGTAATGATTTTTCAAGCCTGCTGCGTCAATCAAGTCAAATTAGTGAAATATATTGCACACTTTGGATGTGTTCTCTCCATTCTTCTCACTCAGCTTATTTCTGGCTGTCAACTCACACACGCCACATGTAGCTCCTATTGCTTATATTATCAAAAAGTGTTTACGAAGACTATCAAATAACTCTCTCTCCAGTAAATCCTCTGGGGCGTTTTCATACTTTTTGGGGTAGTTTTCTTTCAAATAGATTTTCCACATTGCACAATTTGAGAAAGCCCCAAGATGTAACAGCGTTTTTAGCGATCTTGTTTAGACCAGTTTGTGACTCCAAATTTGTATTATTATTATTAAAAGGCCCAT